CCAATTTGCTGTAGTGTGACGTGATCATTGAAAGGAGTCAAATATGACCGGGAATTAAGTCACAAACCTTTGTTTTCTGCTTACTGAGTTTATAGCGGGCGTACTTCTACCGCGCTGCGCAGAGCCGTAGATAGAGAGAGTTTCGCCAACTCGGTTTCAATCACGTGACTTACACCGGCCATGTTGTCACCAACGCGATAGGGTAGGAAGTTAGCAGTAATATTATAGATGATTGATTAATGCTATAATTATAATGTGAAATACCGTTATGTTGGGTTTGGGGTTGCTGCAATCGATCCAACAAAGAAACAAAAATGTATTAATTTCCTTAAATTCCAAAAAGGAGGATTTGGGATTTTCTTTTAACTTTGCATGGCGATCGAAAAATCTCGCTATCCACGTAGTAAATTATAAGACATGTACTGCCACCCGCCCCACTTCGCGGTAATATATATCCACCTACTCTACTACTAGGCCTAGACAGGCCTAAATTTCGGTACTTCTTCGGCCGAACACCGTAAGGCAGTACTTAAATCGGCTTAATTACGATGATAATAAAAAAAAAAAGGAAGGATTTTCAAGCAGCAATGATTTATAAAAAGTTGCAATGTTGCACTTTGCTGTTAAATTATATAAATATCCAGAAAGCTACATGAAGAATCAGTCAAAGGTAGCTTAAATTATAATTAAAAATAAAAATTGAATCCTCCAATAAAAGCGAAAACTTGTCCAAGGAGTCCTGTGCTATGCAAACATGCCCAATTGTGCTTTACAAATCAATTAATTGTGCAACTAAAGATAAAAATATATTTTAAGATATGCCTAATTGCATTATAATATATTGATTGTTTTAATACATATTTTAAATCAAAACGTTTAAATGTTTTACAAATTACAAATCAAAATTTCAATGAATAATAATAAATAATAAATAATAATAATAATAATAATAAATAATAATAAAGTAATAATGATAATATTATAACTCACTAATATTATAAACAAAGTATGGAGAATGCTGCTATTTTACTTACAAGGCCTAGATTCTTGATTATGAATGATTAGGCATGTGTTGTACAAAAATTTCTCTCAATGCAATAATTCTTCAACTTTGATTTATTGTTTAGATTACAATTTACAAATAGGCCTAGGCTATTTTTATTGGTTTGCAGATGACCAGCATATTATTTCATAAATTAAAGTTTACGAAATTATAGGCCTAAAGGCCTAGATACAATTATAAAACTTTCATGTTATTAATATTTTTATCATTCATTTACAGGCGAAATTAACATATTATCGCCGACGATTCACAGCCTACTCTGTCTGCACAACCCAACCTTTCTCCTCTGCAGTGTTGACTCTTAGGAGCCTCAGAGGAGGCTGCTAGCAACTAGGTATAGGCCTAGGCCTAGATGATAGACTTTCAAAACAAAAAGATAATCGTAACGAAAAAAAAAAAAGAATCGTCCTCACTTTATCTTCTCGAAATAATACAGCATGTCACTGATTAATTATTTCCAAAGTTAGGTAAATATGATTATATATGATATTTACAATGATATGTTAAAATCCCATAATTGAATTGTCCTCATGAACAGAATAATGAAAGAAAGTTTATGCAGCATCAGTGTTTTATAAAATGTTATAAAGCTATACGCGCACAAGCTGTTTGGTGACAACATGGCGCCCATGCGCCAAGTTGGCCAAACTCTCCCTATCTACGGCTCTGGCGCTGCGCAGCGCTGCACTGGGTAATAAAAAGAATATACAACCGTTAGTGGACGTCCTACACAGGTGTGACGTTTTTACGAACGGACTTTGCTCTCTTGTTCTATTTATACTCTTTGCTTTTACCTTTAGGTTTTCCTGCAATAAATTTTTTTTTTCTGGGAAATACGATTATGTAACGTAAATTACGTGCATTTGGCGACACGGTTAAACTGTACTATAACCAAACTAAACCCACCTCGATTTGAACATCTTAAAAAGCCCTGTGTTACACAGCATTTATTTCATGGCAGATGCTAAGACGGTATTTTTTATCTGGCGACAGATAGGCCTTGCATGACCTACTCATGAATAAATATCGTCCTAACTCTGTCGTTAGTTATCAAACCTCCATGAAATTTAGCACATCTTGTCTAATATGGTCTTTTGAATTTTGGTAACACTTTCCACATATTATTCTCATATTTGTCATTCCAAGTTGGTTAACCGGGTTTCACGATTATAGTGAGCCTCAAAAAGCATTGACTTTTCTTTGTATTACTTTTCCTATTAAATTTATTATCTACGTATACTAGTGTTGCTTTACTTAGGTTTTCCTTTCTGTATTATTACAAACCTTTAAAAAAACATCAACATGTACATTTAAAAACAGGTTAGTACTAGTATTGGTACTGGTACTGGTACAAATGGCCGTCTTTTCCAAGACATTTGGCAGACATTGACTTGAGGTTGTCATTAATAGGAACAAACCAAAACACGATAATTCTAATTTACAAAGTAATTAAAACATAACACACAAGACATTCAAATATATACATAAATCCAAAATTTACCAAAGCTTTGCAGTTTGAAGTAATGTTTCAAATAAATTTCATTTCGAAAGCTCCGAAGATCAATGTTCAAACTGCAAAGAATTTGTAAACACAAATTAAACTGACCAATACACCGTGATTTGAGGGTGTATCTATTCTATTTGTCGTTCCACCGGCCTTGTAAACCCTGGATAGGCTCAAAAGTTATTGTCAACAATACATCAAAACAACTCATACAAATTAACACACAAGTCAATACATAAAATTGAAAAAAATACGTAATTTTCACTGAAACCTTATAAAAAGTACTGCAGAGCACAAAATGGAAAAAATACCATATTTAGAGGAGTCTGAATTCCAATTTAGTTACATACTAGATAAACAAATATTGAAAAGTCAGATCAATTTTGACTGCTGTAGGCCTACTATATTAGCAGGCTCTTTCAAAGTTAAAAAAATAAATCAAACTTTTTTTTATGTTTTTATGCTGCTTTCAAATTATATATCAAACTACATCATTACATGCATGGATGAGACAAATTCTTATTCTACTTTTGCTGTTAATACTAGTACTGGTAGTGCTGGCTTGGCTTGGAAATTTCATTTTTATTTTTTTATTCTTTCACACTCCAAACATATCTACACATGTTTTTACAGCGCATAGAAATTTTCTATTTTGCGACTTATACATTTAAAAACCATTAACCATTAAATAATAATAATCCCTTGCAAATACAATGTTTACACAAGATGGTTTAAAAACAATTTTGTTCGGGCATGTGCCTACTTTCTTTGATGATGTACTCATAACGCATTAACGTTTCATCGATATTGTATTTTTTTTCAATGGAAGAAAGTAAATATCTTATTAAATGTAAAAAAATTACCAACTATGATTGAAATTTACCACCCCATATGACAGACTACATATGCACCTACGAATATGGGCCCAGCAGGCCCGGACGCATTATTTTTTCCCCATACACTTAAGGCAGACATTACAGAAGGAGCTATTTTAGGTCAGTTGCATGAATATGCATGCCAGACCTTCACCTCGCGATAACGTGTTCAGTGGTATATTGAGTAAGCTACAGTACTTATGCGTGGATGCTACGGAGTAGGCTGGAATCTGTTAAATTGGCCTTGGTAGGTAACACAGTGTGAAAATTAATGGACTATAATTGTAATAATATCCCTATGACTAGACACATTTTACGTAGAGCATGGTCTTTCAAAGGATAAAAAAGCACAGTAATATTGATTTTGGCCAATGCCATAGCCAGGATTTTCAAACAGTGCGGGACAATTTATGCGTAAATTCCAATAATGTGGACCCATTTTCCTAAGTTAACACATTTAACGCTAAATATAAAAAAATCTCGACCCATTTTCTTAAAAGTTTAACCAACCTAGGCTAAGATGAGAAATCTGGACCCATTTTTCAAAAAGTGGGTTCATTTTATGCATAAAATTGCACAATTTGGACCCAGTTTTAAAATTTGGACTCTATCTTTGTGGACCCATTAGAAAAATTGTGTGTGACTGCCCAACTGTCCCAATAACTTGCCACGGCATTGAATCTGGCTATTTGCGTAGGCTTACAGTATAGTATCCTATCCTATACTTAAGGATTTCTTTTTCTGTTAATTAAGTCAAAGTTTTTTTTTTTTTACTTCCATCTTATTTCAATCGTTTTAAATAAGCTTTTCATTTTTTTTAATTGGGTAGACAGCCTTTAAAATATACAGTACGACATATCATAGATGGTCAGATCAATGTTAATTGCTATAAAAATAAATCTATGCCTATTACTTTTATTTATATTGTTTGAATGATTATTCTCCTGAAGACGATTGAAGAAAATAAATCGAAACGTCGAGATATTCTCAACCAACAACTACGTAGTGTAGCGCAAGCATTAATACATATTACTTCCTTTTATATTGAATATATGAACGGAATGTTTGTGAGAAATAAATATTATAATACTGTACATATAATTTTCTTTTAAAACAATTCCCTGGTATATTGTGTGTATGCCATACTCAACTTTACATACTGCATTACTCAAATAACCGACCAGATACAACGCTGCTTTTTAAACAACTTCCAAAGATCATGCTGTACGTAAACAGTGTCTAGGCTTTAGGATATTATAACAATACTAAACATTATTCCATTAATTTTCACTGTGTCGACTACACTGTCTCGACCAACTACCAAGATATTTTGGCCTACCTTACTACAGCATACACCGTAGCTTGCACATCACAGGCAATTTCATATTCCACAAGCAGCGAACACTGCTTTCGCGACTCGCGAGGGGAAGTCGGCATGCATATTTATGTTATCAGTTTAATTAACTGACATAGAATAGCATCCTCTGTAATTTCGGTCTTAAGTGCATGGCCAAAATAATAATACGGCCAGCACCCTCTACATTTTTTTAATTAAAAAAATGGAGAATCAAGAAAATTGCATTTAGATTTTGAGAGTGCCTTTCCAGCATAAAATGTTGGTGGTAGTTGTCTGGACGCTTCATGTGTGAATTTATTCCTTGATCCGCCACTGACTTGGTAATCAGATATGTACTGTAAACAATTTCAATATGTCTGTCTAATTGAAAATGAAATGTATTTTAACATCCAGTAGCTGATTTAAAATACCCAACATCTATTATATGTGCCACCAGACTTTTCAATAAACACTGGCTTTAATTCATTATTTTCATCTTGTGGTTCAATTGAAACCGATGTAACTTTAACTTTACATGACACAGGTAAGTATTTACCAATGCTAATGGCATATGCTAGTGGGCGGGACAGAGGATTATCACAGATAACAACACTTCTCAAATTTGTCACATTCAGGTCTTCTAAGTTGATTAGCATATTATCAACAACGGTATCGGTTATGTTGCATGATTTTAGGCGCAAAATCTCAAGTTTTGAAAATGTTTTTAAAACAGAAACTACTGAAACTCCAGAACTAGGAGCACTAAAATCAGATGAGGATATGTCAAACTCAAGAAGTTCTGGAACAATATTGTCTCCAAACTTTTGTACAGACTCGGTAAATTTCTGAAGGGTGTGCCCAGTAAAATTACAGTTTTCCATATTTAGCACCACAAGATGTCGAAGGCCAATCACAAGTTTTGCAATTGTAACAAAGTCAGCTATATGGGAATGACTAAGATTAAGACATCGAAGTTGAGGTCCAATGTTATTCCCTATTAACTCGCGAGAAAGGTCAGCTAGAAAATTCCAATTTGATTTTCTCAAGTATAATTTCTGGACAATAGTAGTACGACGAAGAATTTCCAAAACAAACAACATCTTAAACTTTTCGGAACGAAAACAGAATCCTGAAAAATCTAGCACATGCAATTGTCTTTTGTCATGACATATGAAATCAAGAAGCTGTCTAGTATCAGAATAGATTCGACACTTCGCCATACTAAGCACGTTTAAATCAGGAAGACGGCTTAGAAAATCGCAAAATAATATCATTGTTTCTGATTGTAAACGATGTCCAGAAACATCCAAATGCTTCAAGCCAACGTGAAAATTGGTATCGTGATTGAAATAATCCAAAAACGGTTCGAGAAAAAGAGTGCCCATTTTAAATCTAGATATGTCAATATATGCCAGAGCAGGCATTTGAAGTAAAAATTGACTATACATCATCCCTACTTTTGCAGATTTTTTATCAGATACCCTGAAGTTACCTAAACTTAAAGTTTCTAAATTTTTATGGATATACCCCTTTTTATCCGTAACGTCACAAAGGAGGCTTATAAAACAAGATTCATGAAATTTCCCTTTTGACGCATCGATACTGCGAATATGAGGGGAACTGAAAATTATTTCAGCCAGGGCTGATCCATTAACTTCACTATCTCCACTGAAAACTAATTCAGTGAAACTATCTGTGCTGACTTGTGGGTTGACCATGTTAGCTGGTAATACGGTTCTACAACTCTCCGTCTTGTTGAGAACAACATTGTTAAAAAACATCTTAGAAACAGATGGGAAGAAGTCAAATAGCTGATGCAGCGTTCTACTATCAATAGATTCAAGACTTACAAACTCGATTGAATTCAATGAAGGTACAACAACGTTATGCATTTTACAATGCATCAACATTTCTTGCAAAGCCTTCAATGAAATTACAAAATCTGTAAATCGTATCACACGAAGTGATGAACAATTTTTTAATAGTTTAACAAGGCTTTCTATATTTCCTCTTTCTGTTCGCATAGATTTAAGTTTTGAAGAAAAACATGAAACATGTAAACGTATATCTGAAGGGAGTTCATGTAGTAAAGAAATTAAAGAAATCCAGTCGGCAAGGGGATCATTTGTAGCCTGTGACTCTTTTACAGCGTTTACAAATTCAGTTTCTGACATTTCTATCCAACCATCTATCGATACCTCATTGATGTACATGCCTTTGATTCGATTAAGAATCTGTATTTTACTATCAATATGGACATATTCAGCAAGTGCATTGCATTTTATAATTTGAATTTCTTTGAATGCAGACACCAATTTTGTTGCATAAGGATTTGTGAACATTATGCTTGGATGGATAAATACTTTCCTAAGTTGTAAGCCACTGTCTACACTTTGAAGTAAATCTACAAGGTTTTGAATGTGACATGGCTTAAATCCATACAGATTGACTGCTAAACAGAGTCTGACCACATCTATCGACGTTTGGCGTTTATCTCTTGGTTGTCTTACAGCGTATTCCTCATAAACACGCATAGTTGGTAATGAGAATAAAAGGGATCCATCACCATTGAAGTCCATTTGATTTAACCAAGATATCGGAATTCCTCTGATCATATTACTAAGCAATTCACAGGCATGCTGGTTTGTGTCTGGATCTGGTATTAATATTTCAAGTTGTCTTAGTATATTTAGCACGCTTAGCTCAACATTAGACACAAAAGGCAAAGTGAATGCATTTTGTAGAGGAGGTAAAGCAACAGTGTTTATAGTGGAAAAATGAGGAAGAATATCCCCAATCATTTTCACATAGCTTTTTTTGCATAGCTCATTTGCTGTTAATTGATTAAGTGAAAACTTAAGTTTTTCAACATGCATGTCTTTTATTTCTTTGCTAAATATGTTTGAAGACAATGCTTCACATGGCAGCATTAAGGATATCACACCCGCTGTGTTACATAGACGAGAAACAAAATTACCAACTTTACCAGGTTGTGTGTGAAAAGGTAGATCTTTGTACCAAGAAATGTGTAATACTGAATTGCGGTGAGGAGAATTCTGTTTGAAAACACTTTTCGGAATTTTTTGGAAAGGTACCGACAACCACTGTAGACAGGAACAATCGATCTCTGATGTAGATTGTATTTCCTCGACGCCAATGTCAATTTTCATTTTGGTCCCTGATGAACCAGAGAAGCAAACTTTCACCATAAATTCGAGATTTTTAGTTGGTATCTGCAAAACACCTTCAATTTTGTCAGATGAACAGGGCAAAGAATGATGCACCGCTATATACTCCCGAAACACACATAGTTCAGTAAGTTCTATGAATAGTTTTTCTCCAAAATCCAATTTATATGGTTTAAATATGAAAATTTGTTTCAAAAACGGGCAAAGCGCAACAAATCTACTGACAAGAAACACATAACTAATAATCCTGTGTTCATGATCATAAATGTGTTTAAGCGAAAATGCTATGTACTCCATGTGCATATACTTGGCTCGTTCAAAGTGACTATCCTCTAGTACATTTTGGTAACATTTTTCGTGACCATAAAGTACAGAGACAAACAAGTAGAGACCGGGTCCATAAGCTATCACAGGGAGTTTAAGAGTTGTCAATGACTTACAATGATAGAGAAAGCACGCCAAGTTTCTACATGCATCCGAATGTTTTATATTCCCATCCATTATGATAGTTTGTAATGTAAATGGAAATGGAGGCAAAATAACAAATGTTTTCATGTATTCATCGTTTACCCCTTGCCAATTGATTTCTTTTAACAAAGGCATGTTTTGTAGGATTGAGGCAATATCTTTTCCATCAAAATTAATGAAGTCAGTTGTTAGATTTAATTTCCTTGTCTGTGTAAAGTTACTTAATTTCCTACAAACACATAATCCTATAGGATTTGATATTTTGATCTCTTCTACATAAATCATTCTTAAATTTATGGACTTGATAACAATAGATACTTCATTGTCTGGACACTCTTCTAAAAGTTCAGCCAAAAATGAACAGTCGAGGTTATTGATCGGAAAGTAATCAAGAAAAAGATGAGCTTGCTCTTTCATGAGAGCTACTGTAAATTTGCACACTTGCATCATGCGAGTGTTTGCTAGCATCACCGTGATCTGATCTTTAATGTTGTCACCATTTCGTACTGCTTTTGCAACGTAAAATGCTGCAAGAAACTCGGATTCAGATTTGTGTACAGTTGAATAGGTTGTTCGGTAGCTTAGTTCTGATTGGTTTGTTTCTTCACTTATTAAACCGTATTTAATACACACGCTGGTCATATTTTTGTCGCTGAGATCGTCTTCAAAAAGGTGAAATCTATTTTCAAATAAGGCCTTTAAAATAGCCTTTCCAATGAATAACATAGCATTGCAAAATTCAGTTCCTATTTCATCAAAGCATCTCACCTTCATGGACTTGTTTTTCCCTCCACCCTGTTTAGCAACAGTTTGATTAACTTTGCAAATCATTAATTCTCTGTAAAGCTCAATAACTGTTGATGGTAATGTTTCACTTATTTTCCAAAATGTACAGAGATAAAACATGAACAAAGGTGTTCTAGCAATTTCAAAAACATGACTGTATTCTTTAACAGTTTGCTTAGTAATTAGCAAGTTGGCTTTTTCCGGTTCCTCCTTAAAGAACTTGGTTATGTATTCTTGTGTTTGGTCGGGCGTAAATCCTTTAATTTTAATATGAGAATGGCAGAGTTTGGTAAGTTTATCCATGTTTTCTGGCCTAGTAGTTAAAATAACTATGCTATTTCTCTGAGAATTGCCAGAAAAAGCATTTAATATCTGTGACTCTGTATTTCTTCTTAGTTCATTGTAACCGTCACAAAGAAAAACAAATTTTTTATCATTATTAATTATATAATGTCGGAGCATATCAACGGTTATATTATGTTTCTCTACAAAGTCACTCGGAAATGCATGGTGTATGATGTAGTGTATGAAGTCATTGCTTTCGTTCTTGTTCATTTGTCTCAGCTCTAGATACACAACTAAATAACCAGTGAACGGGCTTTTCTTGGAATTGGTTGCCCATAAGTGTGCAATGTATTTCATAAGACTCGTCTTACCATGACCAAGTTTCCCTTCTATAAGGACACGACGGGAATACACGTTTTCATTTCTATATTTTCTGTTGTAAGGATTTGCTATTTGTTCGATAGTTATTTGCTTAGCTTTGCTTTCATTTCCATCACGGGGATTTTGAAACAGAACCATATTCGTGAAAAGTTGTTCAAGATCAATTTTCCAAGGTGGAGCATACTGGTGAGGTGTTATATTCATAAAGCTCTCGTACTCATATTTCTCTCGCAATGTTTCTTGTATGCTGTGTTCCAACTGTTGGCCTAGAAATAAAAGTTTATTGTTAGATGTCTTCATTGCTTCATATTACACTTTGAAATTTTAATTTTTAATTAATATTCATTTTTCATAATCTTATTTTAAAAAATCAAATTTTTTCCAATTAATTGATGTATTGTCTCACATAAAAATATCACAAACATATAAAAATCATGTTTGAAACATAGGAATATAAAAATGTTCAATTTGACCATAGTAATTAGTGTATTAAAACAATGTTTACCAATAATTGCACAATGGAAAACGATAGAAACACTTTTATTTTTATTATTTTTTAATTATTCAGTATAAACATCAGGGAACACATTAAAAAAAATTTCTATGCTCAAGTTAATAATGTGTTGGCCTATGTTACATCAAAATTAACAAGGTAATTTTAAAAATAATTTCTACCAATTAATTAAAATACTATTCCTATTTGGGTAAGGGAAACGAATTTGGGAACGAAAAAGTCCGGGTTGCACCCATTTTACACCGGCAACGAAATCGTGTTCAAATACCGCCCTTAATTTTTGTTGCGATGGTGATCATCACTTCGCTCGAGTTCCTCGTCGTGACGAAGCCGCAATTATTGTCAATATTGAAAGAATTTTTATGCAGATTGTTTTTAAAATATGCGAATTAAATCAGCAGTTTTGATATCAAGTCTAGGCGCTAATGCACTTTAGTACTGTAACACTTCTATCTTTAAAAATTGTCTTTTTACCTACTGTGCGCTCCTAACAATATCTTACGATTCTTTTTCATCCTGTTCTCTCACTAATTACACCAGTTTTTAGCATTTTATTACTAAAAACAA